CCCCCCCATCCCCAAGCAAACAGGTTTGGGCCATCCTGTTGAAAACAGTTCTCTGGCTGGCATCCTGGATCACAGGGCAGTCTCTTTCCAGGGAGCCTAAAATATTTCATGTTAAAGATGATGCTAAAATGAAAGAAAAGCAATTTTTCTTATCTGCATGGCCAGTCACTGGCTGCATGCCTAATAACTCTCATGCCATTCATAGAAGTGTGCCTTAACATACAGCCTTGGGCTCTGGCCTGGGGTGGGGGTGGGGGGAATGAGTGGGTGGGTTTTTCCTTTGTTTTGGGGTGGCTTTTTTGGCCTTCTTAAAAACTTGAGTTGAAAGTTATTTTTTTGCACTGTATGTTTAACAATGCCCTTGACTAGGCATCTAAGATATTAACCAGCTTCAGCAGATTATGCGTCTGACGGGGACCCCCCCTGCTTATCTCATTAACAGGATGCCAAGCCATGAGGTGAGAACAAACAGACTGTATAGGGATATCCAATTCAGAAGGCCACATTTCATTTTATTGCCACTGTATAATCAACACAGTTTTTAATGTCACTGAGTGCTTTTGCATGTGCCTTGAAGGCTACTGATGACTGCCCGTGTGCTGTTGCAAGATGTTGACATTTGGGATAAAATGTCATCCAATCCTATGGATTGAGAATATAACTTACAGGCTTGTAAATAGAAAATGATATTACTTCTATATTTGGGTTTTATGAATTTAGTGCTTAAGAGACTGTTGTGTGTTCCTAGTTAGGGTATGTTACCATCTGATGGCTTTAGGCTGGAAGTGTATTTAACTGAGGACCATTAGGATGGTCTATTCGTCAATTTTTTATAATGAGCAAAAGAGTATTATTCCTTTAAAATACAAAAAATCAGTATAATATCCAACACTAATAAGTACTGTATTTAAAAGAAAATATGTAAATAATATGGAATAAATATGAACACTGATACAGCATAAGGTGTCTTCTTGACCAGTTCTTACTACTTAATCTAATGCTAGCTTTCTTATCAGAGGTGATTGGGGCACTTCTTTCTAAGGCGCCTTTAATGCTTTTGGGAGCCAGGTTGGCATCCAGAGGCCCTTCCCAGCAGCTTTGTTTCTATTTCAGCTATATTTCAGTCTTGAAATTTACCTTTTTTTAAAAAATCTTATTAGAGGGATGACTGTTCCCTGCATGAGACAGACAGGTCTCTCTTGCCTCTGTTTTCCCTTCTTCCTTTTATCTTTACGCTCAAGTAGGAAGGGATTACAGCCATGTGGACAGTCGAGTTCTTTTCAAATCGGACTCAACGGCTTTTCAAAGCGGACTTCTACTTGCGCCACATACAATGACTAAGAAGGTGAAGTTACCCTCGCAACCAGAACTTTTTCTAAGGTTGTGTGTGCGTGTACATTTTTACACACATACAGCGTACACACATACGTTTAGTGTTGAGCCTTGTTAAAACAGGAATTTTAAGGAAGTGGTTAAGATAAAAGAAATTTTATCTCAGATGGACTGATAGTGAGTGGGGTTTACTTTTTGAAACAGGGATGTCCATAGACATAGTTTAATACCTAATCTCTGAAGTACACATTTATGAGTTACATTTGTATTTATATGATTATTCTCAAGACCAGTTTTTGGCTTGCCTTGGTAGAGCTATCAGTCCTGAATAATATTTGGTGCCTTAAGTTCCTTAGGGTGAAATTCAGAACTTGTGAAGTTGAAACACCCTTAGTGAATGAGAGCAAACTTTCTAAAGGCAACAGTGTTGGCAGTTAATGTCTATTGAGCCATCACTCTGAACCAAGCACTGTGCTGAGGAAGTGCTGGCTTATTATCTCTAATCCTCACTGCAGCCTGGTGAGGTCAGCATTGTTAATCTCATTTTACAGAAGAGGAACTCAAGACTTAAAGAGAGTAAGTGACTTACCCAAAGTGATAAACTCAAGATACAAACTCAAGCCTGTTCCACCGTAGGGACCAAACTAATAACAACTATATTGGTAATATAAATGTTTGTGTCAGAATTTTAGTTTGAAGCTCTTTCATAAACTTTTATCGTACTTGAGTATCACAGTGACTGTATGTTACAGGCAAGCCAAATACTAATATCTAATACTAATATTTTGCAGATGAGGTCACTGATGTGTTAGCTGAGGACTAGCCCCAAAAGATGTACCTTCTAAGTGGTAGGGGAAAGATTTCCGCACAAGCCGTGTAACTTATAACCCACTGTTGTTTGTTACTCTTAATAATTAGTGTTTTTTAAATGTGTTCAAGACTCTTAGAATAATATACTAGGCTTATGTTTACTTTCTTGTTACCAAGATTACTTTGTTAGCAAGGTTTAACATGAATATCCTTTTTATGTACCAAGAGTACCTACTGAGATCAGCACCATCAGAAGACTGCTAGTCCTAGACTTTCCTTAGGAGTACCAATCCCTGTGCTAATTTTAGCTTTCTAGGAAGGCTGTTTCAGAAAGGGGAACTTCTTAGATCTCCTGGCCTCTTTTTTTTTTTTTTTTTAAACTTCTGATCCTTTGATCAGAAAGCTATTAAAAGGGAACTTAATTGGTTAGCATTCTCATTCACTTGAAATGTAACTGTGAGAGATAACCAGAATAAACAAAGGTGATGATCATACATAAGGCAGTAAAAGAGAAGTCTTTAACTGAATATCAAAGACAGTCATAAATACCGAAGCTAGCAGATTTTGTCAGTTAACACTTGTTCCTTGGCAGGACTGAGACTCCGGGAGCAGTAACATTATTGAACAAAGCCATTTTGAAAACCTTTTATTTTTACAGGCAAGAAACTACATTCAGTCTTTGACCCAGATGCCGAAAATGAACTTTGCAAATGTATTTATTGGTGCCAATCCCTTGGGTAAGTTGATCGTATCCTCATCTCAAGGATATTGACTTGTTTATGACATAAATTGGGGATCTGAAGAAGAGTTTTTCCTTTTGATTAAATAGGGTACCACTGGGGCACCTGGGTGGCTCCATCAGCTAAGCATCCGACTTCAGCTCAAGTCATGATCTCACGGTTTGTGAATTCAAGCCCCACATCGGGCTCTGGGCTGACAGTGTAGAGCTTGCTTTGGATCGTCTGTCTCCCTCTCTCTGCCCCTCCCCTACTTGTGTGTGTGTGCACGCTCTCTCAAAAATAAACATTAAAAAAAAAAAGGGGGGGAGTTGCTTTATTCCTTAAAGCTAGGGCTAATAGATGCTTTGGTTGGCCTCTAAAAGTGTCATAGCCTGAGCCTCTAATTCCCTGATTCAAGGACTGTGCAGTGGACAGTGCTTTTTAACGGCAGACACAGAAAAATCAGATCAGGGCCTTCCTATGACAGGGAGGGGGCAATGCTATGATAATAGTATAATCAACCTTCTCTCTTTTCTGAAGATTGTGTTGTGTGTGTTATATGTCACATGTTATATGTGCAAGGCTGTGGGATGTTTTGGAATCTCTCAGTGGGTCCTCCCTCTCCTTATGGGTCCCAGCAGCTGCACTTCCCATTTAGTTTTATCCTCCGAGGGCTGATAATCACGACTTCCTCTTCAGGTTGTAGTGAAGGCTGAGTGGCTTTACTGTTTTAAGTACTTCTTCCATAGTGATTGTTGTGAGTGATTTCAGTGTTACTGTGATAATTCTTACAATAGCAGAGATGCTCACTTTTTTGAAAAGTTGGGCAGTTCTGGGTGAGCCTGTGTCAGCCTTGGAGATCGTAAGCGTGCCAGACCTCAGCTGGGCCACTCTCACATCCAAAAATGAGTCCACAGACTCATCAGGGGTATACAGAATTCTGTGCGGTCGGTTGAGATTTGCATCTGCCCTGGTACGCTCCCGTTGGCTTTGTATGATTTATTTGAGCTGTAGTATCCAGTTCAAGGATCTGTGAGAAGCTCTCTTTGAGTCGCAAATACGCTAGGATGTTGGGAAATCATGTTGTATGCTGGTAGCTTTCTTGTCTGTCATCCTGTTCTGAATGTATTTTCATCCTATCAGTTCATGTTTCAGACCTGGCAGTGCTCACTGTTTGACTTCCTCTTAGCCAACTCAAAGGGACTTGTTAACTCACTTTTTTAGAGAAGGGGGGAGGTATGTGTGTGTCCCAGCAGTTTATTTAGGTCACATCCATCCTTCTCTGGAATCATGAATTTAAATATTCTCAAAAGAACTGGATACCACCTAGCAATACAGACTTCAAATGAGTTGAATGGAGGCTTTGGGCCATCTGGTGTTCAGCACTGCACTTGTCAGGATTTAAACATGCCTCATAGCTCACTGCCAAACAGTGATGTCATACAAAGAGTTTCTTCTTGCAGACAGAACATGTTGTTACTGACCATGAACTTGTGCCCAGCATATTAACTGAGCAGGAGTACACCAACGATGTAAATAGTGACAGCTGTATTTTGTCAGTCACTGGCATCATGTTTAACTGGCATTCTCAAAACATGAATTAAAACTTAAATTGCCCTTTGATGTGGTGTGTATATCTGTATCTGTCAAGATCTTAGACGAATCTTTTTCTTGCCCCAACCTTATTCCTCATCAAGGTATTGGTTATTAGGACCTGGTACTTTTCTTTCACCCTAGGAAACCCAGTCAAATGCAGTGCGTGACCCTTAACTGGATCTTGGTTTGAACAAACTACGTATAAAAGACAACTTTAGGGGCGCCTGGGTGGCGCAGTCGGTTGAGCGTCCGACTTCAGCCAGGTCACGATCTCGCGGTCCGTGAGTTC